GCTCACTGCAACCTCTGCCTCCCCGGTTCAAGTGATTCTCCTGCCTCAGCCTCCCAAGTAGCTGGGATTACAGGCACCCTCCACCACGCCTAGGTAATGTTTTGTATTTTCAGTTGAGATGGGAATTAACCATGTTAGCCAGTCTAGCTCCTGACACCACAGGCCTCTGCCTCCCAAAATGCTGGGATTACAGGCATGAGCCCTGCCTGAAGCCCCATTCTTAACTTTGCTAATAGCATGATTTTTTTAAAAAAAGATCTCTGGGGAGAACTACATTAGGGTCTATGGTAATAATTCTTTTTTGTAATACAGTAAATTCTTTTCTGATGATTTTGTTTTGACAGCTGTTATCTGTAAATTGTTATTTAAAATTCACTATTTTAACTATAATTGCCTTTACTACACTTTTGCTAATACCTTAAGATTTTAATATGTTAAATATCTTTTCCCCTTTTTTAGGTATGGCTGATGGCAAGCATTGTACTTTTCCACATCTGCCTGGCAAAACCTTTGTCTATAATGCTTCTGAAGATAGACTGGAATTGTGTGTGGATGCTGCAGGACATTTCCCCATTGGTCCTGATGTTGAAGATTTAGTTAAAGAGGCTGTAAGTCAGGTTCGAGCAGAGGCTACTACAAGAAGTAGGGAATCAAGTCCTTCACATGGGGTATTAAAACTAGGTAGTGGTGGAGTAGTAAAAAAGAAATCTGAGCAACTTCATAATGTAACTGCCTTTCAGGGAAAAGGGCATTCTTTAGGAACTGCATCTGGTAATCCACACCTTGATCCGAGAGCTAGGGAAACTTCAGTTGTAAGAAAGCATAATACAGGGACAGACTTTAGTAGTAGTTCCTCTAAAACAGAGCCTTCTGTATTTACAGCTTCTTCTAGTAATAGTGAGCTTATTCGAATAGCTCCTGGAGTAGTAACAATGAGAGACGGCAGGCAGCTTGATCCTGATTTGGTTGAGGCCCAGCGAAAAAAATTGCAGGAAATGGTTTCTTCTATTCAGGCTTCAATGGACAGGCACTTGCGGGATCAAAGTACAGAGCAGTCACCATCTGATGTTCCTCAAAGGAAAATAGAAGTAGTGAGTTCTTCTGCAAAGTCTGGGACTGGCTTGCCTGAATCTTTTCCTTTAACCGGTGGTACTGAAAATTTGAATATAGAAACAACTGATGGCTGTGTAGCAGATGCACTGGGAGCAGCATTTGCCACAAGGTCAAAAGCACAAAAGGGAAATTCCATGGAGGAGCTTGAAGAGATGGATAGTCAAGATGCTGAGATGACTAACACAACTGAGCCAATGGATCACTCTTGATTTAATTAGAGGCTAATAAAGGCAGAATGTTTATTGTGAATATGTAATATTTGTTGGCTGGGCCACGTAACTTGATTAGTCATTAAAAATCTTGTACGTATATAATTCAAAAATTATATCTTGTTATTCAGTGCATGATAGCAAGTGTGTGATTGGCAATAGCTTTTAATATACTGCTGCCCAGGCTGGCTCTGAATTTCTATAAATTAGCTATTAGATCTGCTGAGATGACTTTCTTCCATATATGTGGTTCATTGGCAGTTCTTTGTAATTTTAGTTCCATGAAAGTCTTAATATTTCCAACGTGAAAATTCTCTTACTAAATATGTTTGATTTCTGAAAAGGCTAGAAATGGAGGGGAAATGAGACTTTGCTAATGTTGATGTCATCAAGGTAACCATCTCACATATTAGTGTCAAAAGGTTTATGTAAACTTGAAGTTTATCTGAACTAAATTGTGTCTTAAAATTCATATAATTATTTGACAGTGGGATGCAGATGTTTCCGTGAACATAAACACATTCATAGAGATATGTATTCTTGGCAAAATATCTTAATAGAATGTAATGATTAACATTTTGCTGATTTGTGCAAGGTTGGGGAAAAATCTCTTCTGGATTGATAAGGTCAATGTGATTCAGTTGTGTTGCTGCCTGAGTCAACACAGCCAATTGTGTGTGCTCTGTTATTAATATGTTACCATTATTTTTGATTCCTGGCTTGGGCAAGAACCACCTGATTTTTTTTTTTTTTAAATCTTGCAGAAAAGTTGATTGCAAAGTGTGGTAGAAAAAGAAATAATGGTAGCAGTAGTTAATCTCTGATTTTCAGCGTTTGTCAGATTCACAGAGAATTATAAATAAGAGTTTATCTTTATGAATGAGTTAATTGTTCTACAATTTTGATCAGTGGTATTTAAGCCTGTATATACTAAGTATATTTGTGCCCCTTTGAGCCAAAAATGTTTTCTTTTTTTTTTCTTAGAGTCCGTAAGAGTTGGCCGGGCGCGGTGGCTCACGTCTGTAATCCAAGCACTTTGGAGGCCAAGTGGGGCGGATCACCTGAGGTCGGGAGCTGAAGACCAGCCTGACCAACATGGTGAAACCCCGTCTTTAAAAAAAAAAAAAAAAAAGAATCCGTAACAGTTTATTTGTTGGCTTCACTTGGGTTTAGATGCAAATTTTACTGCATCATACCCTGATCAGCTGGGCATTTGCTTAGTGTATTCATCAAATCCTTAGTGCCAGTTTCCTTGAGAAGCAGCTTTCATGTTTATTTCTTAAAGACATCAAAAGAGTGTTTATCCTGAGATTGGTATTGCACTATTTTATTTTATTCTGCAAATCTGTATTCTGAAATGTACATTTCAACCCCTATTCTTCCTCTGTTCACTGTAATTAAGTTGAATTTGAATGGCTGAAAGACAAAATGTATGTTAATACAATCTCTTACCTAGAGCATTCAAAGCCTGGCTGTCTCTGTTTGCACATGTAACAGATGCAGAACTGTGTGTGTAATTCTAAGAAAATGTACGTAAGAAAGTATTTTATCAGATGTTTAAAAATCTCTGCCTGTTAATTCATAAGGGATATAGATAGTACTTTAACTTGTGTTTCCAGATAAGGCAGATTTTCGTCATCTTTCTGTGAAAGTATCTCTAACTGAATCTACTTGTTAAACGAACTACTCTATTTAAGGAAAGAATGGAGAATCTAGACATTTTACAGGTGTATTGAGCAAAATATATATTTGGGTTAGTTTTATCACATTATCACGTTTGTCTTTATAATTTTATCTTCATCCTAAATTTACTTTCAAGTATTTTCTCCCTATCAAAACAGCAGGAAATTTTTAAACTTTTATGTTGTGCAGTAGTTTTACATAAAGTAAGAGCTGTAGTTACCAAATACTGTTTACTGCTTAGTAAAGGTGGCTTCTGTGTATTAAACTACAAATTACAAATATCACTTCACTAACCACTATAATTATTTTTGGCGTTTTCAGCCACTGGAACTTTTTTGGGGGTGATTTAAATACAGGAAAACTGTTTAATCAAAAAATGCACTGCTTTCATGTAAAATGATATAATCATCTTTTCTTTAACAAATATTTTCTTCATTGATAACTGACAAATATCTCATAGCATTAACATAAAATATCAGAAACTTTATCTCCCTATTCTTACATTTAGTGTAAATTAGAATGCATATGTAAATATTAGAAGATGGGCTTAATCTCTGACAACTTTGTTAATTTCTCTAGCTACAGCAATGTATTTAAAAGTCAGTTAGGTATGAATAGTACAATAACAGTTTGGGTTCTCCCTTGATAAAAGAATAAAAGGCTCAGTTCTGATAGGTGATTAAATTTCTTGAAATTATTTCAAATCAGCTGAAAATTTGGTTGGGGTGATTGATGATTTTTGAGAAGTAAGCCAGGTATCCTCACAAAGAAGTTTTAGAATAAGGTTTCTTTTAAGTTTTTAAATATCATCCTTTGTCCTTCCATATGGTTTTCATAACAAATATATAACTATAGAATGGTTATTTTTCTAGTACTATAATTTGTGATATAGCCACATCTTGGAGTGCAAGCTAGACATCTTAAGTAAAATATTTTTTTTAGCCTTGGATGTAACATTATAACTAAAATGCAGTCCTACAATTCTGTTTGCAGTTCTTCACTAAACATTTAAAGAAAGTTGTAAATTTTTTCTTCAATGATCCATTATATAGGTAATCATACCAAATTTGAGTTGATGGCCCAAAGTCCAAATAGTGTTGAGGATAGTATATATCTAGAATACCAGTAATGAGAAATTGGTGTAAATCGAAGAAAATAAGACGCTGCCATATATTAAGATAGAATTATAATTAACTCCATGAGAATGGTTACTCAGGAACTAGTTAAAGAGCAAGCCCATTTCTCCCCCTTCACTCTGTTTCAGATATTTTATTGGAAAATGTTAGGGTAGAGGGCTGACAAAGTTAGCAAATGCTATTGACTGATACTGACTCTATGTCTTCCAGTGATTTTTAGTTTGGTTTTTTAGTCAAGCCTACTGCTTGCAATTAAGATATCAATCTGAAATGCATCCGTAATTTCTAGCCACAGGTCCTTATTGCCATTATTTTTAAGTGTCTTAACTTCATTGGAGATGAACACTGACTTTTGCATATGGTCTCTTACCTCAGGGAAGATCACTTGCTAGCAACTCATACTACTCATTGACAGGTTTTTGAGAATTGTACTGACATCACATGTTAGCTACTAAATGCAAAATTTACAAAAGTATTGTTTTATGTAGTTACCTACCAATACTATCTGCTACTGAATAACTCTAAATATGTAGACCTCACTAATAACTAACCTTTAGGTATAAAATGTACTTCTGTCATTAATTACACTTCAACTTGTCAATATAGTGAAACATCATAAAGTGTTTATTTCAGAATATCAATACAGTTTTGTTTTCATTTTTCAACAGTAATTTCAATTGGCCCACACTTAATATACTGCAGCACAGATTTTGAGTTTTATGGTTCTCAAAGAAAGGTTTCCCTCTTAAGATTTTTCTAAAACAAAGCCTTTGCAAAATTGGATTAAATTCCACTTACCTTAATGTGAATTAAAAATGACCATTTATAATAATAGCTCCCTGTTCTGAGTAAATGTATCCTACCATTCAAGGTTATCATATAACAAAGTTGTACAACCTTAAGGCTCTTCACAATATAAGAAATTAATTTTTCAAACCAGAGCTATTCACATGAAAATATTCCTTAGTAGAATGTATATTTAATAAATAAAGGGGAACTATATCACCAATATAAGTTATAGAGTTCATTGCAAGTTCTACCATTCTTGATAATTCTTTGAGATGCTAAGTGTTTCAGTTCATATTTACTGATACTTAAATCGTGGAATTTTAATGTTTGTTCCAAAATAGCAGAAATTGTAAAAATTGTGAATTATTGGAAAAAATGCCATTACTTGTATATCTGACATTTAAATTTTTTAATTATGGAGACTACATGCTTTTGTAGTATATTAATGATTATTTTCTTGTAAAAGAAAAGGAAAATTAGTAAAGAAAAAAGTTTAGTTGATGTTATCTGCTTGTGAGTATCAATTACTTAGTTTTAAAATTTTTAAGCTATTGCATACTTTTCTTTAGGATGCAGAAATCTCATCCTGAGCCCTTATACCTGTGGTAGAGCAATAAAAGACTGAAAAGGTTATCAGTATTTTCAGGCTTATTTGACTAAGAATTAGTGCCAAGAACTGGAAAGTCTACTTTTTGGAGAGAAACGATATTTAGAATTTGTAAAAATAAGCAGTAATAGTGTAAATATTTAGAAAAATAGCAAGTGCTTTAACTGTTCAATAAAATAGTATAGATGTTATGTCACCCTTAAGGCACTGGCTGTTGCCCATTATTTTCTGATTTCGTGATTGCTGTATATATTACATTTGAGTAATGAATAATTAGTAATGGTGTATTATAGTGTTCTACAGCACACCTTACTGTACAATATTTGAAGTTTTCTTTTATATCAATAATAAAACTATAAGTTAATACAATTTTTCCCTGAAATGCTCCACATTAGCTTATCAGGGTAATTTTATATTCTTTAGTTTCCTGGAATTACAATGCATGAACATGCAGTTGCGTTTATAAAGGAATTCTTAATAGTTTTCTTTTTGAACTTAAGTGGGTTTTCATACAGGAACAGTAATTTCTCCACTTAATGTTGATTTCATTGCTAGATGAAATGGACCCAGTGAAAAAAGAATGCACAATTTTTTTTTTTTTCAAACAGGGTCTCACTCTGCTGCCTGGGCTGGATTGCCTTGGCACGATCAGGGCTCACCGCAGCCTCAACCTCCTGGGCTCAAGAGATCCTCCCACCCCAGCCTCCTGAGTAGCTGGGACTACAGGCATGTGCCACCACACCTGGCTGATTTTTGTATATTTTGTAGAGACAGGATTTTGCCATGTTGCCCAGGCCAGTCTTGAACTCCTGAGCTCAAGTGATCTGCCCTCCTCTGCTTCCCAAAGTGCTGGGATTACAGGCATGAGCCACTACACCCAGCCAGCAAAATTTCTTTAGACATATTATATAATTGGACCACAATGCTTACTGAACATTTAAAGCAAAACAAAGGCAAATTCTTACAAAGAGAGAACTTGATTTTGTGGTGATTTAAAAAAATAACTGGTGATGAGGAAATGAAAGGAAATACAGATAATAGTACTAACATTTGTGTAGCTTAGCAGTCAACACATATTTACTTTTAAGCTTTACTGTATATGCTTAATATACATTTTATTAGAGTAGATCATTTAACTCAATAATTTGGAGTATAGCCTCAGATACCAGACTTCCTAGGTCTGAGTCCTGGTACGCTGCTTTCTGTGACCTCTCTGTGCTTCATTTTCCTCTCTGAGAGGATGATGATCACATCTACTCCTAGGGTGGTTATATCAAATGAGTTAATATCTGATGATGAGAAGCGTGCCTGACACATAGTAAACACTCAAATATTTGCTATTATTATTGTTATATGTTAATGTAATGTGGTAGAGTTCAGTTGCCATTAAGTGGGATAAATCCTCATAGGGCACACATTATTTAAATAATTTGTTACATTAAAACTTATTTTACTTGTACATAATTGACTAAAAAGTGGATGGTTGTACATTCAAATTATTTATGCAAGTCTGACCATGTGCAGCACCGAGATCTCATGAACCGGCAGTGTGCTTTGTGACCCAAGGCAAGTCTTGGAGCCTTTCAAGGCCTCCATTTCTTCTGTAACCTCGTGGTTTCACAGTTGTTACCCTTTTGTTCTGCTGACCATTGTAATCTTAGTCTCACTTGCAGAAGGCATAGTGCTGATGGGATAAGTGACATGGGTATGAGCCCCATGTAAACTAAACATAATTACCTTTGCTTTAGGCTTTGACTACAGTTATCCCAAACTTGGACTTGAGGTCTTGTATATGCATGCCATTGGTCACATACCATCAGAATAGCATTCTCAAACTCTTTAGTAAATAAGATAAACATCCTACTTATAACAAACAGCTCATTATGGATTTTATTTTTATTGTCTGGCTCTTTCAGACCCCAATAACTGCAATTCTGACAATAATCGATTGTTTCTAATCATTAAAAATGTATATAGAAAAACAGAAGTAAGTCTTTAATTGATTTTCTGAACTGTATCTGACACACTGAGGTGAAAAACATATGGGCTCTTCAAATGTGCACACTCATCCTTAGAAGTAAACCTGTCTTTGGCCTATTTGTCATACCACATAAATTATCTGAAAAACAGATAAATTGTATAGGAATTGGGGGGATTATTCCTGTTTGTTCTATTTATAGAAACATGTATGAAGTCTACCTATAAAATGATGACATTTTTATATTTGACTTATGGAATCAGTATTTTTTATTTTTATGTTTTTGAGACCAAGTCTGGCTTTATTGTCTAGGCTGGAGTGCAGTGGCACTATCTTGGCTCACCACAACCTCCGCCTCCCTGGTTCAAGCAATTCTCCTGCCTCAGCCTCCTAAATAGCTGGGATTACAGGTGCCTACCACCACACCTGGCTAATTTTTGTATTTTCAGTAGAGACAGGATTTTGCCACATTGACCAGGCTGGTCTCAAACACCTGACCTCAGGCGATCTGCCTGCCTCAGCCTCCCAAAGTGTGGGGATTACAGGCATGAGCCACCGTGTCCAGCCTTATTTTATTTTGGAGTCAACATATTATCTAGTCATACTTCAGTCACTCATTTATTTTAAACAAGTACTCATCAAATGCCTCTGTTTTAAAAACCTGAGAAACAGTTCCAAATGAGACAAATTCTTGGTGCCCTTGGAGCTTATATCCTAATGATGGAGACAAGCACAAAACACAGTAATAGCTATCATTTAGTGACTCCTTTCCTTACATCTGGGCAATAGGCTAAATACTACATGCAATATTTAGCCATCAAAATAACCCTTTGTGATTTGGTGCTATCATTATCTTTTAGGAAACAAGTTGATCTAGATTAGTTGGCTTACCCAAAGTCCTGGAGTTAGGTGGCAGAGCTGAGATTTAAATCCAGATGTTTAAGACTCCGTAAGAGACAGGGTCTCCCTATGTTGCTCAGGCTAGTCTCAACTCCAAGAAGTGCTGGGATTACAGGCATGAGCAATAGCTTTAATTTCACTTCCTACTAGTTCCCTTCCTGAACCCTAGTCCTCTACTCCAAGTTCTTCCTCCTTTGGATTTGTTTTCTTGCCTCCTCTAAATTTGGAGGTACTTTAAGGAAGAGTTTCAGAACTTCTTAGTTGACTAACCTGGGTACATTTGAGAATCACTGGTTAAAGTCCAGTTTTTCAAGGACCTCAAATAATTCTTGTTTACTAAGCGGGTCTGCTGCTTTAGAGGGGAGGTTTCCCAAAGGTGATGTTTCTCAAAGAATAGTTAATGGGCTACATGTATCTCACCTAGAAAATTTATTTTTTAGGAATAAATTTATTTTTATGGAATCTATCCTGTGCCAGGTACTTTGCTAAACGTAAAGAATAATACTTTATGAGAAAGACACTTCCTGCCGTCATTGCACTTATATTTTTAGTGAGAGAGAAATACATTTAAGCAAGTAACTGTACATATTGGGGAAGCACTGGGTGGTGTGGGATTATGCTGCAAGAGGAACTAACCTGACCTCCTAAATGGTAACGGAATGCTTCCTGAGAGGTGATGTACCATCTGAGATCTAAAGAATTAATAGGATACTTAAAAATCAATTGGGTGGCTGGGTGTGGTGGCTCATGCCTGTAATCCCAGCACTTTGGGAGCCCGAGGTGGGAGGATCACGAGGTCAGGAGTTGGAGACCAGCCTGGCCAACATGGTGAAACCTGTCTCTACTGAAAATACAAAAATTAGCAGGGCATGGTGGCATGCACCTGGAGTCCCAGCTACTTGGGAGGCTGAGACAGTAGAATGGCTTGAACCTCGGAGGCTGAGGTTGTGGGGAGCCAAGATCATGCCACTGCATTCCAGCCTGGGCAACAGAGCAAGACTCCGTCTCAAAAAAAAAAAAAAAAAAAAAAAAAAAAAAAAAAAAAAAAAAAAAAAAAAAAAAAAAAAGTGAAATTGGCCAGGGATGGTGGCTCATGCCCAGTGCTTGGGGAAGCAGAGATTGGAGGATCACTTGAGGCCAATAATTCAAGACAGCCTGGGCAACATAGCAGGACCCCAATGCTATTGAAAAAAAATTAGCTGGTGTGATGGTGCATGCCTCCTGCCTCAGGAGGCTGGGGCAGTTTATAGTGAGCTATGACTGTGTCACAGCACTCAGCCTGGGCAACAGAGTGAGTCCCTATCGCTTAAAAAATCAAATTGGCAAGATTCAGAATCTCCAAAAATATTTTACTAACTAGGTCAGTCTATCAAGCAAAATTAAATAGGATGCTTATGTTTCCCATACTTTAGACTCTAGATCCTTCCTAAAAGGGGGCAGTGAGCCAACTGAATAGAGAAGAATGAGGAACTTTGAGAAAATTGTTGAAAATAGGGCTGCTAGAGAAAAAGAAAAAACTGCAGCAAGGAATGAGATTCTGCACTGAGTGTATTAAACTAACCAGAAACATAAGCTTCTCCTTTGAAATTAAAAGGTGTCTTTGCTATTGAATATGACCAATGTAAATTAGATACAAAGATGAATAAGCCCTCAGTTATTCTGATTCCTTTCGACATTACCAGAAAGAATAACTCTTTTCTTTTTTTTTTTGTTTTTTGAGACTGAGTCTTGCTCTATCACCCAGGTTGGTGTGCAGTGGTGCAATTTTGGCTCACTGCAACCTCTGGCTCACCACAACCTCTGTCTCCAGGGTTCAAGCGATTCTTATGCCTCAGCCTCCTGAGTAGCTGGGACTACAGGCACGGGCCACCACGCCTGGCTAATTTTTGTATTTTCAGTAGAGACAGGGTTTCACCATGTTGGCCAGGCTGCTCTCGAACTCCTGACCTCAAGTAATCCACCCACCTCAGCCTCCCAAAGTGCTGGGATTACAGGCATGAGCCACTGCACCTAGCCTGTTTTTTTTTTAAAGACAGAGTCTTGTTCTGTTGCCCAGGCTGGAGTGCAGCAGCATGATATTTGTTCATGGGTTCAAACAATTCCTGTGCCTCAGCCTCTCAAGTAGCTGGTACTACAGTCATATGCCACCACTCTCAGGTAATTTTTGTATTTTTTGTAGAGATGGGGTTTCCCCGTGTTGCCCAGGCTGGTCTCGATCTCCTGAAATCAAGCGATTCACCCACTTTGGCTCCCAAAGTACTGTGATTACAGGCATAAGCCACCGTGCCCGGCCTATAAAGATTAGTTTTATTTCTTCCTATAGCA